TTGACACAGTTGGCAGCAGCTACAGCAGCAAAAGGTACAAATCGTCCAATAAGAGGTGGTGCATTCTATGAAAATATTCAAACAACAAGTTACTAATTAGTCACCAAACTGTCCATACCTACCACAACACAGTTAAAATTGTATAATATCCAGTTTAATCAGACTCATAACAAAACAGGGATCATTGTAAGTTGTATAATCATTTAAATTTTGTTTTTGGGAAATGAATAAGAGCTCCACCCCTAAGAACACAGGAAAGAGAAAAATAAAAAAAAATTAAAAGGAACAAGTAAACATGCAAACTTTTTGCTGCAAAAACTGATTGCAGTTAGTCTCAAGGCTCCATCTATAGCTTACCCTAGTCAAGTAATTCAAACCAAGTGCGACAGATATAGCACCAGTTGTAGCACATGTGTATGCTATACCAAGCTCTCTGGAATAGATGCAAATTATATGCACAATTAAATTTATTGAATTAACGAATTCATTTATAACAAAAATCACTTCATTCCTTCTCCTATATTTTATTTATCCATTGTTGTCTGGGTATGATACTCTGTGAATCTCAGTTGAGATTAAGACCCACATATCCTGGTCTCATGAGAGAAGCGTAGGAAACGATGGAAACGTAGGAAACGTAGATACAAAGCGTAGTGGTTTCCAGCCTCTCGAGTTTTCTCCCTACATCCCACTTGTTTTTAACAGAGTATCATGGGTTGCCATCCGGTTAAATGCCCTGTATTTCATGGTCGGATCCAGCTGGTGTGTGCAGGGGGTGTGCACCCCTTCCTGAGATGTGCATCCTTCAATACTTTCCTTATTTTGAATCTCCTTTGGTAATGATTTTTGTGTGGTGCACCCCTCCCTGAGGAAAATCCTGGATCCGCCCCTGATGTTTAATATTGTTACTATATCCAATACATACTTATTAGATACGTGTGAGTCTCCACTTCTGTTTGTGTAATTGACAATTGCATTAAAGGACTGATTGATCCATTGCCAAAAGAGAACTTGTGGGGTGGTCCTGAAAAAAATGTAAGGATCTCAGTACTGTAGCATAAAAGTAGATGAATGATATAGCATTACAACAGCCTTCAATTTTGACATGTTTCGGTGATCAATCGCCTTCCTCAGATACTTTAATGGTACTGTATAATGTGTATTTATATAAGAATTAGCATAAATACAAAGAGTATATTTAAACAATAAGGTTACAATTTGAGATTAACATTAGCATGGAACACTTGTTGGTTTAATGATGGATTGAGCYATTTAATGTGTAATGCCTCCTTAATTTCTAGTTGGTATTTGGAGGTGGCAGTGTCAATTATTGTGAAACATTCCTTTTTCACAACTATCTCTGCAGTTACTCGAGCAGTTTATATGTTTGTATATGTGAGAGGATTTGTCCTGAGAGAGGTGTTCAATCATGCGTGTTTGAAAATGGTGGGAAGATTCCCCCACATAACAAACAGAACAGCTTGCACAAACAAATTTATTTATAAAACTTATGAATAATGCATAAGCTATTGCTCCAATAAGGGCTGACCATTTAATCAGGTGATTGACCGTGTTGTAAATCTGATACAACCACTAGTGGTTGTATCAGATTTACAACATGGTCGTCACCATTGAGACAACCCAACACTAGCAAAGGTCTCAGTTTTAGTGTCGCATCATAGACCTTCACTAGGTTTTGAAGCAATCAAAGACGGATAACAGAACTCGCTTATGCAACAGATGGCTTGCTTTCCATGTGGGATGGATAATTATTCAAAATGTTCTGTGTTGCAGTAAATTGCGCATGCTTAATAGGGACTAAACTCAGCAGTTACCTTATTTGTCATTTTTCGTCATTTATCTCACTGTAATTCATGTTAATTTGTTTTATAAATGAGTTTTATAAGTCGTTTACAACATTCGCGTCCGCGTTGTATGGGAATTACAATCTCTCGCCTGCGGCTCGAGATTGTAATTCCCATACAACACGGCCGCTCATGTTGTAAACTATACAAACAACACGTGAGCGTAACCAACAATGTCCTTCACCTTAAAGAAATTACCAGTCTTGAAGTTGTTTTAACACTAGTTAAAAACACTAGTTTGATGTTGATGTTGGTGCGAAATTTATGTACTAGACTATTCACTTTTTGTTGAGCAAATTTTGAAAATTGTCCAATATACGGTAGCTTAAAGAAATGATCCTTAGGTGTATCAATGTTACTGACATCATTATCATGTATGTTTGAGATCTCTTTAAGATCTGTTATATTGTTATTAAAACCCAACCAAGTACGTTGTTGATTTTGAAAATGTGATCTATTAAGGTCTTCACTAAGCCTATTTTGTAAGTCAAAGGCGAAAAGCTAAAATAGTTTGTGAATAAACAGGTGAAAGTTTTCTTACGAAAAATAGATGTAATTGTTGAAGTTGTTGAGTTGTTTATACTAATATCCAAAAATGTCAGAACGTTGTTATTCTGTTTCTCCATTGTAAAAGTTATGTTGTCATGTTTACTATAATTGATATATCAAGGAAAAGGTCTGCAGTTTCCTCATTCTTAAATAGGCAAAACGTATCATCAACATTGATCGCCGAAACATGTCAAAATTGCAGGCTGTTGTTTTGTTCTTAAAAATACTATATCAATATCTACTGCTACGTCCTTTTATAGATGAATGATACATTTTATATTCAAACAAATCCTTCCAAAAGAAGACACATTTTGAAGTGTTTCATACTTGTAAAAAGTCATCATA